GTAGTTACTCCTATAAATAATACATCAGAATAGGTAACCGTCATCCCTGTATGAAATGTGTAGAAAATAAAAAAATTAAGATGAAGTGGGTACAATTTTAGTAGAATGCTGCTCATTTATGAGCTAAAAATTGCGGTTTTGGTAACCATGGCAACCGGTACTCAAATTTGTCAGTTGACCCCAAATATGACTTATACATGGTGTTTCTACATTACATGCAAAATATCAGCCAAATCTGTGATGTACCATTTCCAACTTTTTTCTAAATTCTTTGATGCTTATACAGAGAATGACTCTTAACATCTCTCAAGGATTATTCGTATTGAGACAACACCACTTCCCGGAGGAGGGTTACAAGTTTAGACCTATACTTGGTACTTAAGGCCATTGAGTAGTGAGGGGTCTTTTTTGTGCCAGCATCTAATGCGACCCGGGACCTAGCCTCATATGGTCTTATACGAACGACGTATCCAAGTCAAACAGTGGATTCGATCCTGCGATGTAAGGATCAACTCCTTACTCCGCCATTTAAGTGCAAACGCTTTAACCACTGCGGCAAACTTATTTTGTGAAAAACAATATCTGATTCTGTACACAAATACTCAGACGTTGATATTGAAAAGATGCTTGAGTTTCTCATTGCCAAATCTATTTAATCCTCGGGGACCAGGTCTTACAACAATCATTATCTACATCTAACGCTACTTAATCTTTCTCTATATTGTAACTGCGTATTGTACCGTGCTGTAACTCTATGTCTACAGTTTTGTATGCTTCTTTACTGCTCACACAAGGACAGACAAAGACATTTTTTGTGCCTTTTCTCTAAGCTGAATCTTTTTTTATCAAAGAGAAAATCGAATACAACCACCCTGGCTTTGTATTCTTTTGATATTTAACATCAAATAAATGTAACAAAGAGTGATATGTACACATACAAGCAATAACTATAATTATCTTTCGGAATAGACAAAGGACGTGCCTTCCAATTATTTGAAAATTTCAAGCTATCTTAACTAAGTACGCTGTATTAAGATCACAGAGCAAATTAAAATTCTCTGTCAATTTCCAAGGTAATTTTTTTTCTTCGTTAAAATTTTAAGGACCTCCGATGATACATGGAATCAAAAAGTCGATATTTTCTTTACATGAAATATCACCATTTAGGACGTGTTATCTTTGTAGGACTTTTCATACATTTCTGAATAATTAACTCTCCTAATATCTGTTTTTCTAGTTGGAAATTAAGTTATTGGAAAAAATCCAATATAACAGTCAGAAATTGGTAAAAGTGTCGTTTACTGATTTTTATTTGAAAATTAAAATAAGTACAAGCCATTTATCTTTATGAAATGGTCCTATAAACGGAATTTTTACCAAAACCAGCTGATGGAATAATTTCTTATACATCAGATAAGAATAATCAAAGTACTAAAACACCTTAATAAACAGCTTCTATTATTGTGAAATGAAAACGGAAGGGAGTTAGTGTATTTTATGGGAAAGATACATAATATATGTTGAAAATAATCAATGCATATAAATTGTTAAAGCATTGTTTGAGAATTTACTGTTTACAAATCCAATCTTTTTCTTAGGTTGCATAGGCTGTAATTCTAGGTCGATGAGTTAAGGATTACCTCGCCTACTTCGGTTCATTAAGGAAGGAATCTCATAGTATTTGACTTTCGCTTAACGTGCAGTTAACTATGTTCATGTAAGTCATCGTAGTAAGTGTTCAGCACATAAATTCCTTCCTTGCATTACAGGGTCTAGTTCGCTCCGAGTTTTCTTTGCAATAAAAAAGCTTTGATTTTTTTTTTACTTGAGGTTTGATTGGCGTTGACTTTCTGATACACATTATTCAAAAATCATTATTCAATCGTTAAAAAAAATGTTTGCCTGTCCCTTCTCGGGCCGACACGGGTTAAAAAAAATGGTAGGTAGGTAGGGGAATTTTTTTTTTTATTCAAAATAACTTGGAAATAATGAGTTGAAATCGCTAAAAAAGGTTGAGAAAACCTGAGAATGAATAAAAAAATAAATGTTCCCTGGAAGTAAAAAAAAAATGTTTTGATTCGGGCAGTGTTTAATCAGTCGGTCGGGAGAGGGGAAACATTTTTTAAAATTCTGACAGAAGAATATTTTAATCATGCACCATTTTTCACCTGTAACATAAGTAGGAGCAATGTTCAGGTATTGGTTTTCTGAAACACATAATAAAAAAAAAAACATATTCAACGCGACAGAGGGAAAATAAATGTCTTGAAACCCCCTTCAAATGCTCGCCTCCTTTCAAATCTGTTGATGCAGTATAAAAAAATGTTATACTTTTATCTTCCACAGAATTTCCGTAGAAAATATATATTTTTCTGGTAAACTTTTTAATTCAAAATCCCAAAACACGGTGTTTGTGTTTTTCTACAAATATTGAAAGAAGAAACTTTTGTCATCATGGTCGTCATATTGATTTTAGAATTTCATAACGATGACATACTAGTCGAGTGATTATTGCATATCACCGAGTCGGCGATATTTTTGTCATATTTCAGCAGACACAATTAATTTAAGATCAACTTCAACATTTTTGATGGTATCAACATTTTAAAAAGAATCAAATCCAATAATGGAGTTACTTAATGGGGTTCCTTTTTGAGCTTTTTATTGATTCAACTCTAAATCATTTTGCATCATGCCACAAAGAATATTTTAAATAAATTATTTATTTCCACAATGGTTACATGTATTTTACAAACTATACATAATAAAACATTAAAAATAAACTATTTATGACACATATTATAATATATGGCTTAGACTTAGGCTTTAGAAGGGCGAACGACTTTGGTTTCAGTACCCTTGTAGCAGGGGGAACGACTTTGGTGTCAGTACTCTTGTAGTAGGGTAACGACCTTGGTGTCAGTACCCTTGTGGTAGGGCGAACGCTTCCTAATACGTTCTATTTCCACTATGTAAGAGTTATACTTCTTAGTGCGCTCTTTTGTGAAAAAGTTGGAAAATGTACAAATCTCGCGGGATTTCTGGGACAAACGTAACATAAATATGTAAACAATATGTTGAATGTCGATGAACAATTCCTAAGAAAATACAAATAAAATATTTCATTGTTGTGGACTTTATCTACATCAAGAGAAGGAATGACAACGATATCAATTTATATCTATTGCTGATCGTATGTATATATTTATCGTATGGTACATCTAAAAACAATACACATGCCTCGGAAATGTCGTATTTTTTATTAATGGATGATAAATTTAGGGTTCTCGCTCTCTTACATATGTCTTTTAGTTCTTCTATTCTTTAATTGAAATGACAAATACATTTCACATTTAAAATTGGATTGAGATTGGCATGTTTTGTATTATCCGCAACGCCATGCTGTCCCAGTCAGACGACCAAACGCGCCTCTAATTTTGAAGAGTTCACTAATGGAAATAAAACGTATTGGAAGGCCCTGGAAAAAGACTTTTCAATCCACTTTGCCAAACCTATCGATTTTTTTAGATTGATCATTGTTCGTTATTTTTACCTTTTTCATGTAATCATAGGTAGTGACTGTTTCTTCGCCAAGCGCCCGTCTTTGTGTCTTTTGGATCTGATGAGACCTAAACAACCTAGGTCCCAGTCACGGTAGGCACAATAATGACGCTGCTGAATGACCCCGAGTGCCGAGTAAATATTTAAAGTTGAATCCCTTCACCGGTATATGGTTACGTCTCAGGTGAGTGATAACAAGGGGACATAAAACAACTTATATTCAATCCTTTCTAGACGGGGAAAATGTAACCAAAGAAATCATCTACAAAGGTCAAAGCAGTACAAACAGAACAACTTTGAGTATTACGTCAAATATTAGAAGTATTAGAATCTTGATCCCGACTAATGCGGAAAAATTCTTTTAGTCATCAATATTTTCTTAGGGGGGGGGGGGGTCTGTGAATTGACAGTAAACACAGCCAGTAGGAGATAACTGAAATTTGTTGAGACATAGCATGCATAACAACATTAAATAGGTTAGAATTTATATATGAAGTCTGTTTCAATTTTAAAACTGTGCTTGGTCTGCCGGGATTATCGTCAGCCATATTATCGGATCTTGAGTAGGGCTATTTTAGAGTCGTGTTCATGAACTTTTTATAAGGATCTGTCATAGCCTTAAACAAGGATGTTTGAAACACTAGAATTGTATTAACTTTTAATTTTGTTTTTACCTTCAGTTGGACTGAAAAAAAATAATGTATAAAAATATAGTTTATTTTCATTTTCAAACATTCTAAATTTGCATATAAAATATTAAGTGTAATCATTTGAAGACATGGGTGAATTAAATGAAGTTTTGTTTTGCAATTCGAAACAAATCTTTCAATTAAAATGTAGTACAACATAAATATTCTTACTACAATCACACGAGCTAAATACAATTTCACTTACACATTGAAAGGATAAAAATTTTGACAATTTTAAGTAGTACAAATATAGAGATAACAAATAGTAATCATGCGTAAAAGTCTGTAGAAACAATACAACTGAAAGTAGAGCAAACTCAGACCTCTAAGAAACATCTTTGGTGGGATCAAGTACCATGGAGGAGTAAGAATCCCCTATCGACCCCAGTAAACCGGTCAAACCTGTCGTTTACTCTTTGCCATATCCTGATGAACGGAGAAATCCGTTATCGACTCCGTGTGGATAAATCGCAGTCATTCGATAAATAATTTGATGTTTATACAACAAAAAATACTTTTTGTATTTTGTTTATTCTCAGACAAAATTAAAGTAATTGGAGGAAAACTATCTTTGATAAATAAATTTGAAACCCTTTAAATAAATACCTAATATGACAACATTTAAACTTTTTAAAATATACTTATATCAGCTTGTCATTTTTTTAAAAAACACATGCAGCAAATTCTACAAATTACTCAACAGTCAATGTCCATCGTCACTGTGTTTTGTACATAACTTTAAAGCAATAGTTAGCAAGCTCTTATCAACATCTTAGTCTCGGTTATATCAGTCCCAGACATAATTAATTCTGACCAGGGCTCCACCCACCTGCCCGGGGCCCAGGGCCCGTTGAGGAAGGCGCGATGGCAGCCATTGAACCACCAGCCTCCTCCAAACTTAGCAGCACAGTTGTAATTCCCGGGTTTGTTGTCGTTATCCTTGTCCAGCGTAGAGAATCCCATTCCAACAATTCTTCTATCCGTATTTAGCATATTGTCACCTGTTCAGATTAAAGGCAATTATTTTCTTATATAAGTAATAAATCATTGGTCATATAGAACGTCCAGATTTAGTATAGTAATGACAATTTTAAATTTCTTGCAACAACCAAAAATAGTTTTTTAAAGGAGCTGTTATGGCTTCGTTTTAATTATCTTTAATTATCTTGCTATTTGGCTATTTTAATTAAATAGTTTGAGGTACTAACTGGTCATTTGTTGTACGACTTATTTGTGTCTGAGGTTGCAGCCATACTTGAACGGTGAATTTCTTGTCCATTTAGAACCCCTACTATCTACAGTGTAAGTTGTTAATAGATTTTATTTTTATTTTAAATCACTTGCTCCTTATCTTATTTACTTGTGTGATAGTGGCTGTAGATGCTAACCTTTGCAGATTTGTAAACTTTGTAAATCTTTAATTCCCACGTGCTCGGAGTATGGTGCGCCTCTATGTACATCAGATTTTGAATCATGTATTGTCTATAAATTTGATCTATACATATGGTAATATGTTTACGAAGTAATTACGCTTTACTATCACACAGTTTAAGTATTTTATTATTGTGAAGTATGTTATCTGCTTCCTTTAGTCGTAAGTACATCTGTTGGTGTGTTTTTTTCTATGGAAAGAAAAACCTGTAATTGATTTTTCATATATTGTTTGTTACAGCTTTTTACCATACCCTTGTATGGTTAACTTTCTGCTGAATTAAAGCAATTTTTGTGGCAGAACAGGTGCTATTCAGGTCGACTATGGTGACCCAAAAATATTTACGAAGCTAATTAATTCTATTGCGCATACGTTCCTATCTGTACCTAGTGTTCCTGTTGTTGGTCCTGAAAGGAAGAGTCTATAGTTGTTGTTTCCGTCTGATACAGAAAACTGGTTATAAATCACGTATCTCTGATTTAAAGTCTTGTGTGTGATTGAAACGTAGAGTTGTGGTAGATCCTTCGTTAATTGATGTATTACGTCATTTCCTGTAAGAAAACAGAGGATACTGATTTCATGAGTAAATGATTGACTTTACTAACTTCTTTAGTACTCCCTACAACTCTTGTCCTTTGACGTATATACCGAGAAGGTACTTTTACTTCCGATTTTGTACAACAATAGAACAATACAGTCTTTTATAAAGATGAGGCTTTGTATCGATCCATGCTTGCTAATAATGTCTCTAACTTGTCGTTTAATTCATGAAAGTTTTTATAAGTCCAGCATTATTTTATATTTTTTTTCTACATGTATGCATAATTTCTTTTACATAATTCAATGACTGGGTGATCTTAAAAAAAAAATTGCTTGCCCTCTCCCGACCGACCGGCTAAAAATGCACCGACTTAAAACAAGTGAATTTTCTCATAACGCAACAACTATTCGATTTTATCAATAATTTTAATCAGAGCTTTGTAAATTTCAGCATTGATGTTGAAAAATTTCTTGGGGATGAAATTTTCCCTACCTACCGAACCATTTAGCTTATTCTTAGTCAGGGAAGGGCAATCAAGCATGGTTTAAATGATGGTCCAGCTGAAATTTGTGTCTAAAAATTGTGCTGCATTACGGATATACTTTGGATTTGTAACCTTTCCTAAAAACATCAGAGACCCTTAATATTATATATGTATTATATTATTTATTCAGGACATGTATATTTAGACATCTTATTGGGATATTTGTTTCTTAAAAAGTAAAAATAATTTGAATATATATTATATGTCTTACCGATCCAGTAGTCTTCTTCTGGGATTCCGAACCCGACTTTGTAATCAGCCCAGTTCCGTGTAAAGTTAACAGATCCTGTTGTTCGTCTCTGTATCGCCTTCAAAATATTTACATGAAAAACTCAATAACCTTCTCTTTCTTCCAAATTGCCTTAAAAAAACCAAATGAAAAATTAATCTTCTCTTTATCCCTATTGACTGTTAAATGTTCTAATGAAAAAATTAATAGCTACCTTTTTCCCCTCATTTTACTGAACTAGATATTATATTTCATACGCACAGTCCAGAGGGACATAAAACTACAGACAAGCAAACAAACAAACGTACAGTCCAGCCGCCGCCAAAAGTCCCCATATCGCAGAAGACCTTCACAGAACGACAGGCAGGACTTTTTCTCTCCCAGGGATATATCGTGTACACACCAGACGCTCTGTAACCTTGGTCGTAAAGGGCCTTACAGTCACGAGGCAGAACTGTGGATGTTAAGTTCTTACATTTTTAGAAAATATTTATTTTTTTAATAATGAACATTTCTTTGATTTCATATTAATTCATGATTTGATCAACACTTAGGGATTCATTGTTATTATTATTATTATTATTATTATTATTATTTTTTTTTTTTTTTTTTTAGATTTTTTAGTGTGTACCCATTTTGCTAATACTTCAGGAGAAACATATTAGTAGCATTAATTTTGGTTTACATATCAGTTCTAACTGACGCATGGCTTATGGTTTATTTGTTGTAGATTTTAAAAAAAATATTTGTATTTGTTAGAGTATTTTTTTTAAAAATAGTTTCTTTGGTTTAAATAAGAAAATAAATCATTTTATTCAAGTTCCTTCAAACAGAAGCCGTAATTATCTCTTTACTCAATGATTTAAATTTAACAACTTTTTAATATTATACGAGGGCTGTTCGGAAATTATTGAGACATATTTTATTCTTTCTAATGAACGCCTTTTGATAAAATTTGGCATATACATTTGACATGCACCAAGAATTATATTACAAATATTTTATTATTTCTTTTCATTGCCACATTAAAGATTCAATTGTAGAGGCACCCGTTGCAGTCAAAAAATCAGATATTAAAAATAAGTCACACCTATGTTCAAACTACCCTGTGGACCAACATGCAGTAAGAATTAAAAAAAAAGGTTTTGTTCGTAAATTTTCATTTTATTTTGACTTCTTTTTGTGCAAATTTGTTATAATTTCGATCAGAAATGCAGAGATTATGAAATGTTTTGGCACGATATAGAAATCAAATTAAGTCGACAAAATGAATTTTGACGTCACGCCGGCGTAACGAGCATACATAAATTTTATTTTAGTGCCATAAGAACATTTGTCTAGACTTCTCGACCTGCTTAAACAATAAAAATGCGAATGAATATATTTAAGGGTTCGTTTTTTTATTGGCATATATATTTTTTTCGAATAAATAATTCAATTAGAGTAAAAACAACAGCATTGGACGACCATCAGTTATTACGCACCAAATAATGTTAATGACCTTCGGTGCAAAAATCGGTACTGCATGATGCGAGGCCAACCAGTATATGTCATTTATGAAATTTTAAATTAGGTAAGCAACAACACATATTTTATTTATTATATCGTTTAATAAAAGAAAGTTTGATTTTCAAAATGATATTCTCGGTATATGATGATAGAGAAAGAGGAGGTTTCGCTTAATTCCTTAGCGTTTTAACATGATCTACGGCTGGGGTGACGTTAAAATAACGTCCCAATGCTAGGTCAGTAGACATATGCAAGTTTATAATTTCACCGGGACTTTTCTAAATACCTTATTAATTTGCAAATTTGTTAATCTGTCCTTGAATTACGAATCTTCATGAATTTATCTCTCTCCTTAAAGGAGTAAAAGTAAATGTCCGAACAGCCCTCGTATGCTTCAATGTATCAGTATAATTAGATTTTAAATTAAACACAAAACGAAAATTATATGGTTGTTTCCGTAAAACAAATTGTTTCCGATTTGTTTTTTACTATATGCCAGAACCGCTTCCTTTCAAATACTAGACACCATGTTTGTTTCATTAAATCGTACATACATTGTGGCTTACGAGTGTAGTATCGCCAAGAAGTTTCAGTGATCGTCATATCCGCCGTGTCACATGACTCTAGGACGCGACATTTCCTCTTTTGAATGTTAAACCCATAACAAGTACATTTACACAAACACCACATAGGGCGGTACAATGTAAAAGAGACTGGGAACTGTACTCTGTTACATGTGTGGTTGAAGATACTCTATTCAGAATTTCCTCTTTTTCTACAAATAATTGTGAGACCTGAGCATTTACGATTTTACAAAAAATTAAAACAGAGAAAACATATTCAATCATGTTAAAATTCTAAATCTTAGAGATGTTGAAAAACTACTGGACGAGTTCATATCTCAATACGTTGTCTTTTTCTATGCTATCTATATACCCTTATAACCGAACAGAAAAATTGCGTCATAGTAAAACTCCGCAATTCTTCACAAAAAGTGATTGGTCGCATTATCTTCAAAATCAACATGGAACAAGTTTTCTCCGAGAACCCCAACTTCCACCACTTAGAGTAATAAGAAAAAATATAAGTATGCATTCAATGTTATCATTGCTTTTAAAAGGCATCTAAAATAAATGAAAAAAAGAAGAAGATTGATACAAGATTGAATGATCGGATGCATGACAACCCTAAGAGAGTAATAGTATGTTTAAAAGATATGTCTTAAATCAAGGTCTTATCTCTAATAATTCTCTAGTGAAAAACAGATTTTTTTATTTATATTTATTCAACAGAGATAGACAAATATAATCGTCATATATCCCTTTCATATTCCAGTGTGTGTTTGTTTTGTTTAACGTCCCTTTCGAGAATTTTTCACTCATATTGCCGGTGGAGGGCTGCAAATTTTGACCTATACTCGGCACTCGAGGCCATTGAGCAGTGAGGGATCTTTTTCTTCCTAGTACCTACTGCTACACGTGACCCCAGATGTCCTGTAGGAGTGAGCTCCCCTGCCGACCGGTCACACCCATCGTGTGTTCCTTTCTACTGAGATATCATTTGTGGCAAATTCAAGTTTAATATTGTGCAATCTTTGTCTGTCGACATACTTTATAGTTTTAGTACGACTCCATAAAATGTATGTTAAATATCAAATATATTATGGGCTCTAGTTCCTCAAGAGACGGCCTTATCGTCTACAGTTTAAATGCCATTGTAAGTGGTTATTCTTTTAAGAAGCATGGTAATTGACTCCTTGCATATTTCAACATCATCAATTTAAGATTTCCTCTCTCCCTCCCTCTCCCTCCCTCTTTTTCTCTCTTCCCCCTCTCCTCCCCCTCTCTCTCTCGATATTGAGTTATCATCGCCTTAGTTTTTTGGTTTTCGACTGGTCCTTGTTTGTGGCAGGTGAAACTTTTATACAATAATAATGAATTTTAAACATTTAAAGAAAGCTGTAAACCTTCAGGGTTTTTGTGTAAAATGGACATTTATGTGATGTTTCATTTCTGTAATCATGATATAAGTTATAAGTATATGATAAAAGTTTATTTTAGGAAATAACTCCTATAGCATGACTGAAAATCACAAAGAAAATTAGCGGTCAGTGTGCATCTTACTGTAAGGGTACAAATAACTTTACTTTTTGCTCTAAAATTGTAACCTAGGTTAAAACTTTAAACTTTATAATATTTTACCGAATGTAATCATGAAAACAAACATAATTTTCTTTTATGTAAAATAGCTTGAATAATATTAAGCATCGATAAAAATCGATAAAAATCCTGCCAACTAATGAGCGCACAGTATTGTGTGACCTTTTTGCACTGAAAAAAAAATATTTTTGGGTATCAAAAATCTAAACTGGCAATCTTGTGTCAAGTTTTTTTATGACTTGACTGCTGATCGATTGAATGTATCGTGCAGTTTAAAAAAATGAAAGAAAAAGTTTGGGCCAGTGATGTAAATTCTGAGATATTGGTCAAAATATGCGATTTTCAAGCGAAAAAACTGTAATTTTTTACATGACTTCTTAAACATATCTTCATTTTTTGGCAAGGACAGTTGAGTGAATATGGAGAATTTGTTTTTAAAATATGAATTGAAACCTATATTTAATATTCCTAGCATACAATAACGAACAAAAAATAAATATGTATGGCTAAAGTTCAAATATATTAAATCAAACAAATGTGTAGATTTGAAGAATTTTCTTCTAAATATCCTTCCAGCGCAAGAAATAGTCCCCCATAAATATTTTATGTACATTCTTTAAATTGAATATTTTGCATTGTTTAATTCATATATGTTGAGAAAAATTGAATTGTATTAAATAATAATGAGGTTCTGACCATTTTTTTTTCAAAAGCTGACGAAGTTTAATTGTTTTCATAATTTTATTTTGATTAAAGCGCTTAATTTCATTATAGTATAACATTTCAAGAATACAATGTAGAATTTTAACTGTTGTCTTTCTCTGAAGTGAATAGACCTTGTGATGGCATATCAGTCATTTCCAACAACTAAGACCCATCTTGAGATTTGCCAGACACAGAATCTTCAACTTCAAAACTTTAAGGATAGCTTTTTTTCTTTGAAAAAAAAGCTCAGGTTCTTTTGTTGTTTTTTTTTTACAAACTGAATTTTTTCCGTTTATGCGATCAAGAAAAGGAGCACAAAGAACGCTCTCTTTTTCATGGCACCTGATCCAGCCTCTGACGTTTTAAGAGGTCCGTGCTTGCTTCGCTCCTAATTTGAATTTTTAAGATAGACTTTTGGGCATGATAACTGTTCCATATCTTCATATTTCATGTTCGTGCAAAGTTTTATTTTTTTATCATACACCTAAAATCTAACCTCTTATGAAAGTAATATCAATTATATAAATGTATAAAAATTGAATTTTTTTTTTGAAGATTAAAAAGTTCTAATTTGATTTCTGTCACACTCAGTGATCTCATGCATTTTTTTTTCTATTAATCCTAGCTTCGTTTAAATTGATGTTCATTACTGGATTGGTTTATAAATTATTCTGTTTATCGAGTAATGATTCTTTAAAAACGAATTGTACAGTTTATGAAAGGAAAAGAAAAATCAGAAACACATTTTATGACAATTCCGTTTTTTAACTAATCACTAAATTAAAACGAGCAGAAATGACGATGCGTTTAGATGTTGCCAAGCAAGGGATATAACTAATGCGCAATTGTTTGATTCTTGGGACTAGAATACATCCAAGTAAGTGGAAGGAGTTATAAATTTTTGATAATTGTTGAAAAAATTGTTGTCATTTATACTTTGATATTAGAAGCATTATTTTTATTCGATTACTTTTCAGGGCACCTTTGTAAATTCCAGAGGTCCACCCTGATCATGTTTCGTATTGTTTACAGGACATCAAATTTATCACTGTTAACGTCCCCTTTTCATTTACACAATGGTAGAAAGATTTCGAACAGAAATCAAGCTTAAAAGTCCATGGAAAGAATACAAATTCGGAGCATATCAAACAGGGACCTCTTAAAACACTAGAGGTGAGATAAGGAGCCATGGAGGAGTAAGCATCCCCTGTCGACCGGTTCCACCTGTCGTGTGCTCCTTGTCATAATCGGTAAATGGAAAA